ATGGAAACAACTTTTCATATTCTTTATAATAGGCTTTACTGGATTGGATTTTACACCTACCAACGTTTGTTTAGATTTTACAACAAGCGATTTAATGGACGGTGTATTATCTTTTTCAACGGAAATCGTTTAATTCACAAAGACGATGATTTTTATAAGCAAACGTCAAGTGACATTTCCATGGCAATCGTGAAATTACGAACACCCAGCCCACTTAATTAGACATGTATTCGAGTATAACGTCAATATGATTTCATTGTATTTCCTATTTTTAAATTATACTGCAGGTATAATAAAAAATACTATAAGATACACGTGTATAATTGGTTTTTAAAGCACTTGCAACGTTAAAGGCACTCCGCTTTGCGTCGTGCCCTTAAACTCGTTGCGCGTGCTTTAAAGACTTGATTATACACTTGTATCTTAATATACTATTTTATTATCCCTGAATCACAATCTCCGTTTTAAACACTCAAATGCGTGCGAAAAAGGGCCTTTAAAACACACGTGCTTTAAAGTTGCTAAGTAACGATACTTCAAGTATGACTTTTGAAACTGTCATCTGGGTGAAATAAAAAATCTTCCTAAGTCGCTTTCTGTAAATGCAGAACATTTCTTTGGCTTGTACCTATCCTTTGGTTGAAGCTTTTACAAATGCGCGTAATTTAGGGTATGCTTCCAAATCTGTTTCACTTTTTAGTCCCAGCAATAAGTGAAGTTTTGAATAAATGCACCAAAAGATAGAAGATTTAAATACCTTTGACATTTCCTTCATATATGCCAGCATTATCGATGCATTTAATACTTTATTCGTAAGTAACTTCCTATTCATCCATGGAAACAACTTTTCATATGCTTGATAATAGGCTTTACTGGATTGAGATTTTACACCTACCAACGTTTGTTTAGATTTTACACCAAGCGATTTAATGGACGGTGTATTATCTGTTTCAACGGAAATCGTTTTATTCACAAAGACGACAATTTTTATAAGCAAACGTCAAGTGACATTTCCATGGCAATCGTGAAATTACGAACACCCAGCCCACTTAATTAGACATGTATTCGAGTATAACGTCAATATGATTTCATTGTATTTCCTATTTTTAAATTATACTGCAGGTATAATAAAAAATACTATAAGATACACGTGTATAATTGGTCTTTAAAGCACTTGCAACGTTAAAGGCTTTGCGTCGTGCCCTTAAACTCGTTGCGCGTGCTTTAAAGACTTGATTATACACTTGTATCTTAATATACTAGTTTAAATGGTAATATCGCATGAATTGGATACCTGTTGAAATGCGTACATATTCTATGGATTGGTGAATTATGCTATCTGGCACAGCACAATAAAAGGTAATTGCAACTGTAAGTAGGAACACGAAAGTTTAATAAACCTAAAAGTATCAAAGAATCAACCTTATGATTATGAATTAATTTATACAGAAAAGTCACACTCTTCCTGTGAGAAGTCGATCTGCTGGTGGCCACGCCGAGCAGACCTCATCCAGGTTTGATCTTCGTAATATTCTCTTGAGAGGGTCCTTTACAGAGTGGATTAATCCTTTCGAATAACCCTCAAACCAATCCTTCGCGATTATAAGATGACGATTCTACCATCATCTGACTTTCTGAGCTTATCCCAAGGTTTCATGCTGGTTTTTTCAATTTCTTTTTTGTTATATCTGGTAACAAAGACTGATCAACTATTAAAAGGTTCGTATCAGCACTTAGGAACCCCCACCATCTGAATGTAATAATTTGATGCGGAGTGGATCCTTTTCTTTCGCCCGATTATAAACAAACACACCCCAATCCGTTCATATCCGAGGTCTTCCTTACTAGTCTTGTTCCAATTACACATCCCATCAACTCCAACTTTGGAATGCTTGGCTTACTGGGACTTCTCTTTTGTAACGGAGCTAATCTTGCTTTCAAAAGTAACAATTAACAAATCCATGTTTTTTGCTATTTTCATTTGTCCAGAACAAAGCAGCAGCACAGGCATCTTGAAAAACGCCTTCTCTCGTGGTATGAATGCATCCTTCAAGACAGGTAGGGACGATAACCACAGACGAAATTCGTTTACTGTCTTTCCATCAACTTTAACTTCCCTTGGAATAGCAATTTTGCATGGATGGTGACCAGGATGGTGACTGAAGAAGAGTATCACATCGAATCGAACGCTTTTGCTACTGTCGAAAGAATACATCTCTGCGTAACGTCATCTTCATACTTCGTTTCCTCTGTTCCATTTCAAGTCGAGAACTGACTTTTCTGGAAGGGAACTATTTGTGAGAATGACGTCAATTTTGGCAGCTCTCTTAATGGCACAGCGCAGTATGTAATTTCGACAATGGCAATTTCTCTTTATTGTTTACGTTGGTGATGACGAGCTGGAGAAGTTTCCGAACATAAACTTGAAGCGGCAGGCTCGTTTGGCCATATTGTACTTTTAGCGACTCAACGGCAAGGTGGTCATTAGTCTCTGTTCCAATTTCCATGCACTGCAGGAAAGTTCGAAACCTGTCTATTGCGTCTAGATTAACCTCATTCAATTTCGTCCGTAAGCTCTTGTCATTTAGAAGACGAGTGCAAATTAATATTTTAAAATTTCAGCCACGTTAAGCCATTATTAGTAGGTTTTTGTTTCCTATGGTAATTTAAAACGAGCATTAAAACTTCAAAGCCATGTAGGTTTACGCCGATATCAGTTTTGATAAAAGACTTTTTGCCGACCTGTGAAATTCCAAGAGTAAATGGGGGTTAATTAGAATTTATAAATATTATCCGGCAAATTAAGTAAGTATAATCGCTCGCTAATCTTATGAGATGCAGAACAGCATCCGATTAAATGGTGAGTAGTATCAAAAGAAGCGCTCTTAATTAATTTGAATTTTAAGACCAATTACAGATTTTTCGGACGTCAGCAGGCTGCACAATTAAATAAAGAAGTTTTAATTTTTGGATGTAGATAACCGAATACGCTGTGTCGGATGGAAAACCGTCGTTCTCTCTATGGCATAGTCGAATGTTATAAAACTTAAATGCGTTGTTTAGAGGGGATTTTTGCTTTTTGCATTTTCACAAGTGGCGTTTCATAAGTACCCTCATTTTGAGCTTGTTCGTAAATTTATTTTGCATTAATACCGTTTAATTTTTGCTTTTACATTCAGTTCACCAAACCGTCTCTACTGCTTTTGCATTTCCTTGCACAGTCATTTCTACCGTTCCATTTTATTGCAAGGTAAGCTTTTTGCTACTTCATTTCATGTTCCATTACTTATAAGGGGGAGGGGATATTGTTTCTCTTTCCTGCATTCGCCTGCCCGTAGAGGAAATTAGTGGGAAATGCACTTAAATCTATTATTGATAATACGTTGTATTATCCACTAAGAGTCTAAAGGCGTCATTAATGTGGCCGAAAGTCTCGATTTTGAAATGCGCTTTACATATAAACGACAGTGTCGGGATCTCAAGATTTTTTATATGTACCAACCCGTTGCTATCAATACTTTTTATGAGTTACCAAAGAAACGAAAACGGAATTTTTGGAACTCCCGAGGCCAGGAGTTACAGGAATCACTGGCATTTCGGGTTAGAGGGTTGATTTCCGAGACCATCGGCAAAAGGCTACATAGAAAACAACATTCAAAATTAATAAAACGTAACAGTCAAATAAATAAATGGACTTCATTTTGATAATTAGACAAATTGTACGTTTCGTTTGCCAAAATTAATTACTGGCTTGAATGATTGATTAAAGCTATCATTTCAGTAGGAGTTGTTAATGAGTAAACTAATTGATAAGAGTGTTGTAATAAATAAATCTATCGTTCCGGCATATTCCTGGGCTTGAAAACGGCCATAGGGTAAGTAGATAATGTCCCTTTAATGAAGCAAATAAATAGTAAGGGTGGACTGGATTGTAATGAAAAACAAACGTTTCCTAATAAAGAATGACGAGAGGGGTTAATTAGGGCATTCAGAACGCGCGAACTTTTACTTTTATTTGTAATTAATCAAAAGTGATCAAGATTTGCACTTTCGCTCTATAAGCTGTTTGCCGAATTGCGTACGTTGCGCTAAAGTTTTATCTTGATCTTTAGGTGTTTTTATCTCAGTGCTTGTAAAATGGTAAAGTACAGGCGTCAAAACGTATAAACTGAACGCTTGTTTGGGAAGTACTCAGTAACTTCAGTAAATATGGTACGAGATATCCGGCAGGACATAGTGGAATTAGGAAAAGATATTTTTTAATTAATGGCCAATATTTATGATAAGATTAAAATAATTAACAATTGTAGATTAAAGTCTGGAAACAATAACGTTCAAGTAAAATTATGAATGAAAATTAGTTATTGATTATATGCGACTTGTGGTAAATAATAAAGCGGATAGGAAAATTAGTGACTGTTCCAATTACCTATCAACAAATTTGGTATATGTCTTATGTAAATTAAGTAGAGTATGGCAAGAAGCTTGATGTTAAGAAATGTGATGAGATTAAAGAAAAACCTGCATTAAAAGACAATAAACCTGTGTCAGATAGCCGTAGCAAATATGTAATTATTTAAGTTTTTCATTGTCTTAAGCAACCCGAATTTCCCTTTGTATGATTTATTAGGTAAGGATAATGAGAACAGTTCCCAGTAAACGGGGATAGTTTATCTCACTGTCGTGAAAAGGAAACCGCAATTACATTTTGATACCCAAGGAGGGCCGCCCCAAAGAAGCGCCATTAGATACTTTGACATCTTTGTCTTCAATTTCAAGGGAAATTTCAGTCGGCAATACCTTGACTGATTGGTATCATTTCCATAATTGAGGCGCGCTTTATCAATCTTTACCGGGTCATGGTACCTAAAAAGCACAAGTAGTTCAGTTTGTAAACCTATGCACTTTTTTTTGTTTTTATGACGGTGTTAGTAGTTATTTGCACCTACAAGTACAACATATGTATATTCCGCTCACATATTACAAAATCAAGCATATATTCAATGACTTGTCAAAACCGAGAGTAAATTCAGAAAATCATGAGTAATTACATACCTGTCACAAGCAATATACCAATCATTGGGTTGATCCAAACTTGTCATTACTGGAATTGGAAGCGCCGTTAATCCAGCGAAAATCCAAACAGAAAGTATAATCATAATGGCAAACTTCTTCGATAATCTTGGTTTCAGTGGCCACATAATGGCAATATATCGATCCAGACTAATTGCCAACATAGTGTAAGCACTGACAAATACTGACACGGCTTGCGAGTAATTTACTACTGGACAAAGTAACGAACCGAAGGACCAGTACTGTTGAAGGGATGAAACAGAGGTGAACGGCACACAAAATATAGTTATTAATATGTCGCCAATCGCCAAGTTCATTATAAAATAGTTAGTCACTGTCCTCATCCTTGATGATGATAAAACTATATAACATATTATTCCGTTTCCTATGACAGCTACCAGAAATATAACACTGTACATTATATAAACGGTAATTTGAAATTCTGGTGACTCTATTGGGTTACCCGACCCTTGTGGATCGCAAACTAATTCGGTGTAATTAGAGTCATTTCCATATTGATAAAACGTAGAATTGGGTTCGTATGTAAATGTTGAATTTTCCATAATTAATGCCATAATAGCTTTTACCATGCAAAAGTAATGCTTATTTGTCACACGTACGTAATTCAAATACGGTAAATCTATGCTACAAGTGGTTGTGAGAGCTTTCCAGAGTAGCGCGCGCGATACTAAGGCTTTAGAAGATTCGCAAAGCTCCAGTTTTGTGAAAACGCGCCGACGCTTATTTTCATTTGCGGATCATTATAATAGCAATTACAGACTCTTTATCATTATGTATATTATAATTTACGGTTAATGTAAAAAATGGCACGAGTAATAAAAGTAATTTCTTTTTTGCTCAGGTAATTTGTCTATGTTTCCCAGAAAAATTGGAATAACACAGTTTTCAAGATTAATTTTCTATTATTCCCTGAAAGATATGTATTTTTTGTATTGTCTGCGCCTATCTACAGTTGAATCCGATGGATTCATACGAAGCGAACACGTTTGTCTGGCAGAAATAAATTATTCTTCAAGTAAAAGAAAATTGCTTCCAACCACATTTATTTCAGACTTTGGAAAGGAACAGCAATTTACATACGAGTCGCGTTAAAAGGTAAAGAGGGATGCACCTGCACGACGCAGTTAGACGGATGTGCCATGAACTTTCAAGCAAATCTTATAACTGAATTCTAAGTCACGTCGCTGCAGGCGTTAAAGTAAAAGTTATGTAACAGGTTTATTCGTTTAATAAGTTGAATTTAAATTTGCAAAATCCAATCAACTAACGATAAATTTACCTTACGATAATATTTGTTATACATGTACTTATTTATACCCACGTACAACATGTACTCCTAGAGTAGTTACTTATTAATGATGGCTTGATGATTTTTGTAATTACAATCGATCAAAATGGGGCAGTCATTTTAAGTCTAGGCAAAAAGTAATTTAACTGCGCACTTACATTCCCTGCATGCCCTTTCTTACTCTTGAAGGATAAATGCAAATTTTAACATGTCAATCGTTTCTTACATTCTTTTCGTATTTTCACCCATCTTTTCAAATACTATCATCGTTTGCGTTACTCTGTTTCCGTCGCCCGTTTGATTTTTCTTTTATTCGCGTTTTCCATGCGTATATGTGTACCTCTCATAATATTATTGTATATACATCTTGTATATACAATGATAATATCTCTTCCGCGTTTCAGAAATACATGCGTAGCCGCTCGTGTTTCATTTTTCAGGTACTCACGTATTGCTCGGTATTTTCTATTTGTAGCGTAACAACTAAGATAAATGGAGCGTTGAAGAAAGTTTGACGAATGGGTCCCGCTGCGTAGGTCTTTATGGGGAACCTTTAATCCTCGTAGAGAAAGAAATTTTGCATAGCAATTCGTAGCCCATGCCCTACGGGAATTTTGATTACTTGGGTAAAAAACAGCCAACCTTCGCTTCTCCTGCCATTCTCTTCTGCTCTAGCTGTTAACCCTTGACTCCCGTACCTTATCACGGAAGTTTTTTCATTGAGTTGTTCCTAGCAACTCAACTGTCTCGTCTCTTGTGGTTAGACCTCCTTCTCAGAAATCCCATTTGGATTGCCGGCATATAGTAAAAAAATATAGTAAAATAAAATGGGAGAAATGCATTTTAGATTGCGTAATATTGATTTCTTCGTTAAACTTTAAAACCGAATCTATGTAAATCGAGTGCGGTATTTTTCAATCCCGTAAAATGTTGGAGACGAAGCCGTATAATGGAAGTATACGAATGAATTGTCAGCCGCGTAATCTTACGTGATACGTTATTGCGAAAGTTGAAGTTAATTACCGAATTTCAAGGAGAAACTGTGCCACCATTTCGACGAAATGTTTGTCGTGGGTGCTTTTTAAATTCATCGTGGGTTGCCAATAGTGGTGTATTTATTCAACAAGGGAACTTCGTTGTGCAGCGGAATGCGAATACGTTAGTTTCTTAATACATGTCCGAACATTTTAGTTCAATTACTTCAATATTTAATGTGAAGAAAAACTAATTGTTACAGTAAAAGTTTTACTAATGCCGTAGAGAGTAAAATTTATTTTCTATAAATCTGTAAATGTAACTAACTTGGTCCAGCGTGTACTCATACATACATATTGTTGAAAAAAATGGAAAAATCTCGACCTCAATTTTTCCTTATTAAAAATTCATAAAGCTAAAGCTCAAAATTGAGAAATGGTCACAAATACTACTTTATTTAATGTACCAATTAGTAAGTCCGTAATCCTTAACAAAGGGTTTACTTAATTGGCTAAAAAATTAATAAACCAGAAATGATATAAAGACTATTCCATCCTACAGATCTACTTTACCCTACAAAATACCAATACTGAATCATCTTCCTCATGCAACTATAAGCCATTAAAATATGACATAATTACATTGTGTAGATTTTTCTATGAATCTATTCCATAGGAGCCCTGGTGTTGAACTGCACATTTCAAATTTTGATCAACGTAACGCTCTACTATCGGAACCGGAAAAATAATTCCAAATAATCAGAAACAGGACTAAGGAATGATATAACGCAGGTTGGTCGGTCAGGTACGATGTGATAAGAAACTACATCTTCACTAAAAATTCGCGAAACGAAAACTACATTGTAATCATTGTATCAACGACAATTTTTCTAATGAGGTAGTAATTAACACCATGTACGCGTTGCTATATATCTGAAAGTTGTTTCCATTTACCCCTTAGGAGCCCTAAAGGTTTATTTTCGAGCAAAATTAAAATGAGACATTTTAGGTTTAATATTAGGCACATTCCCAGCAGACAGGCAAGGACTTGTGTTTGCATTAGTTTGTTTATGAGATTTTGCGGAAGGGACGCCTGCTATCTTCCGAACGTGGAAGTGGGTTTTGGTGACCTATTCCAATAGAAACGTAAATTAGAATTAGATGCCGCATATGATGACAAAACAGATTTTTTGCAAAGTTTGCAGCACGAACTTTACGCTACCTCGATTTGCTTTGACCAGTCGTTGGAACATCTTTTGATATTTAAATGAAGCGGAGTAAATCAATGCGGAGTCTGTGGATAAGCGTCGTTTTTACTTTACCTTATCGTTGTTATAATTAAAATACGGTTAAAATACGAAGGAGAAAATAGATAATTTTGTTTTAGGCACAGTGTGCGAATTTTGATTAAAATTTAACTATGTACCAATTCGCTGGATTACATCAGATACACATAGCTGGTTCGCGTTTGGAATTTTGACAGCAACGTACTTTCACTTCAGACATTAAAAGGGATGGTAATCTCTGTGCTCATTAGGGTCGTAGAAATTCTTTAAACCTTTGACGTATAATGATCTAGGTTGTGAAACATGGACGGTTTAATCCGACTAACCTATCCCTATAACTAAGGCGATATTACAGCATTACATTCAGGGAATAAGCTTTATTGACGATAAAGCACATTCTGGGGAAACTACAGTAGATTGCAATTTTAGGGATTTGCCTAAAATAAATTAAACTATAACCGTATCATAATTGTGATTACTCAATTATACTTCAATTATGTCAGCTGTGTTGAAGATTAAATGATGAATTGTGTTCACACATAATTTTAAATTGGATTGGTTTGGATAAGGCTAATAGGTAATAGGAATATAATACTAATCCGCTAACACAAATCTGTATAGCATTAATTAATCGGATTGTCAATAAAATAGAAACGAACGCTTTATGTTGGTGTAAATTGCAAGTAGGCTGGATCGAAATAGTTATTTGTACAACTCGAGGTACAACTAGTTTTGAAAGTGAAACTTTTTTTTCTTGAATTTGCAGTTTGATTAATGAGGGCGATGCCCGAGCAGTGTACGGAAATATCAACGTGATAGAAGACCCCCCGCTCCGCAAAGGGCACTGCTGGACTGCCGAATTGGGAAATTTCACCCCGACTAGTTGGATAAGTATAGTTAACAGTAATTAGATGAGTGGGTTACAGTAACAACCTCCGATTAAATCCAGATTACATTCGTTGGGTGCGCCCTTAAAAAATTTGTAATTTTTGGATATAAATAACCGAATATGCTGTGTCGGTTTCCATGGCATAGCCGAATTCTCTATAAGGTAAACGCTTAATTTAGCGAGGATCTTTTGGCATTTGGTGGTTTACCGAAACGTATGTAAGTTCCACCGAAACGTAACATCTTTTTCCTTTTGAATCTCTTGCATTTGGTGGTTAACCGAAACGTGAGTTAAACCGAAATGTACAATCTTTTACTATTGGTGTCTTAACCGTATCTTTCTGCCTTTTTTTTTTTTTTTTTGATAGGCTATTCGGGATCAAAGCCCATAAGCCACGTGGGGGAATACAAGAGTGTGCTAAGGAATCACAGGGCCACACACTTCACGATTCGGGGCCTATCGAATCGACTTTGAAATCACACAAACGATTAATCAGCCATCGGAAAATGGGTTGTATCGCACAAAGGAAAGGGGGAAAACCGGATAGGAACTCTCGTATTCTCCATTCAAATTTTTAATTTGCATTCAATTATGTATTCAATTATTGCCTTATATATATTAATGTTATTAGTTTGTAAGATTTGTACCATGTTCGTAGGAAACATAATACCAAGTTGTGTCAGTTTATTGTATAATAGCTTCCGTTGGACTTCATATTGACTGCAGTTTAGGAAGATATGATTTAAATCGGCTTCTATGTTCCCGCACACGCACTCCGGAGACCCGATTATTTTTGCCTTTTTCAGTTACATTTTATACGTACCGTATTAAATTTAAATGTTTTTCATAAAATCATCTTGCATTCAGAGTCTAATTTTTTGCGTTTACAGTAAGTGTGCCACACCGTATCTCTAGCTTTTGTTGTTTCTTGTACGGTAATTCCTACCGCTACGTTAATTGAAAGGTAATCTTTTTGCTACTTTTTGTTTCGTTGATTATAAGGGCGGATAGTGCCTCGCTTCTTACATTCCTTTCTCGTAGAAACTGCTACCAAATCCGATTATTTACTGTTCTCGCTTAGGTGCGCTAAGTTTGTTTTAGAATGCCCTAGTAGCCGCCCGCTGCTTGCCTTTTAGAATTCCTGGGACCGCCGTTCTCCATCGCCGACCGCATCTTATTCAGAAGCAAGAGAGACAGGAAACTTTCCTGATTTCCGTATTTACAACATTACTACGTGAAATTCATTCGAATGTACTGCACACCCATCAAGTCTTTAAAGCACGCGCAACGAGTTTAAGGGCACGACGCAAAGCGGAGTGCCTTTAACGTTGCAAGACATTTCTATTTGTTTTGCCGTATTCTATTTTTATGAAACATGTTTCACGTTTCGTGTTTCATGTTTCACGTTTCATGTTTCTTTGATGTGCGACCTGCCTTAAGGCACAATGTTTCAAGTGTATCCGAGATACCGGTATCCGGGCGACTGTATCACCTTGTAAAAGCGGGCCAAGTTTTCCCTCGGGGATCCGTGGGGGATGGGCCGCACCGCGTTGCATATTGTCGTTCCTTCTTAACTGTTTATTCAATCCATTGTTTATTAACCTTAAACCTCTACTTTGCACACTTTTTGCGACGGAAATAGCTTCCTTTTCCCTTGGTAAAATAATAAGGATTTTTCAACTATTTTTTTGCTTGAGTGGGGTATTTCTGTTTTTGTTTAATTAGAAATTCTATATCTCCAACTGATTGATTTTTTTTTATATACGAAAAAAATTACTGCGATATACAATACTTATATTTACTAGTATTTCTCATAAAAATATGTGAAAGATGCGGAGATGATTACAATCGCCCTAAACTCCCGTGATTGTGTTACCTGCTTGCACCTATAATGGAAATTTTTTTCAGTTCCAGTTTGGTTGGAAATAAGCCCCTTTTTTTAAATATAACATCCTGTTTTTTTGTATGTTTCAATACAAACTAAAAAGGTTTAAAAATATTGGTAACTATATATTCAAAAATAAAAATATACACAGGCGACGACATGCACGTTACCGTTTAAATCTTAAAGTTAAAGTAAAAACACCAAGTATCCACGTGGTGTGTAGCGCACAATTAAGTAGTCCTGCTACTGACTGGATCGCGAAAGAGGCATATTCTTTGAAAGATCCATAAAGGGTGCAGTGTTCCTCGCGCAATAACAACATTTAGAAAACCTAATTGTAATTTCATAATGGAGATTCAGTGTAACTTTAAAGGCATAATACTAATAGGAACGGAAAGGGTAGAAGTTCATTAGCATTCGATTATTACAAACTTCGTTAAGTTTTGAAATAGGCGGGGAGTTGCGAGAAGCTCATCTCTTAAAATAATTTTCGAACAACTTATCCCCGGTAGAATTGGGCATATTCGACCTTAACAGCAAACATTATTTGTCGCTAAACGTAAATTATGTGATTATTAAATTATTAGATAGGTAGCTAACAAATCCACGTTGAAAACTTCGTGCCCTACAAGTTCTAATAACTTGATGGTTTCTGTGATGAATTTAATTACGCTTAAAGTCGTATTCTCGTAGACAAATTAAGCAATTTCAGTAATATAGTCAGCACCACAACTTTCTGCGTTTATTACCGTACTCCTTGTTAACATTCTAAATAAGCACCAGTTAAATGACTTACACTAAGATTCTTAGATGGGTACAGTAACGAAGATAATCGTTTTATCAAGAATTTAAATAAGTAATGTTAACATTCTGGTATTGAATAATAATTTGGATAATTATCAGAGAAATTGCTTTAAAAAGATGGCATAGTACAATTTCATGTACAGTACCTGAGAATTAACCAAATAAAAAAGAAAGCACGTCGGCACAATAAAAAGCAATATCGAAGTTTAACAGCAACATAATATATTAAATGTTTCCCCAGAAAGTTGAGGTCTTGACAGTCGACTCACTTGTAGAAATACTGTAGGCTCCAACCGATAACCTAAGTTTTAGGGTAATTTTTTTTTTATTTTCTAACTAATCTGCCACATATCCCTTTGCTACTGCGTCACTTTTCCAATCGCCGTACCTTTTAAGCATCCTAATGTCGGCACCATTGTCTGCCAAAATTGTAGCAGACATCCTTTGGAATGAATGTCTCGTTCAGTTCAGCATTTGTTAACTCCAAGTACTTTGCAATACTCCTAGGAATCTGTCCAAATGTGTTGATTCCTACGGGATTGCAGGTGCATTTACCGTTATTATAAAACAAAAAGAAACTTTTGAATTTTACAATACTTTGACCGCAAATTTCTATACTTTGGCCTACAACACCTACAATCATATTACTTTGACATATTGAAACCCTACCTTCAAAAGAAAATATTTTTCGTTTGGCGCCTTTTACCGTTATTTACTCCTTTGGGAATACTTGCGATTTTTCTGGTACTCAACCAATGGAACGACATTTATCTAACAGCATCCATCGACACTCGGGCTGTATGGGCTCCAATCTGTTGGAACTAAACAATGATTCATCGTCCTCTCAACTCAGTTCTAAAGAAGTTGTTTTGCATATTCACATAACGATGAGCTGTCGCAGTCGTAGTGTTCCCGTCTTCCTCAAAAGTAGGGCCCTATGACACCAAACGTCCCGATGCCGCACCATACCACAAGCACTGTGTCTGTGTCCATTTAGATGAAAATGAGCATCGTCGCTCATTATCAAAATCGCTTATTTTCCGAAATTTTCCAAAAATAATATATTGGAGTTAGTTAGGGCGTTCTACAGTGACTTTATAGGCACAGTGGCGACAACCCGGTACTCGTTTTTGATTGGAAGTTGGTTCCGATCGCCATATTGGAGCAAAATCATGGCTATTCGTGATTTACATTACCGTTTGAAACTGTTTT